TCTTTGAAAGGCACAAGGATTGGAGTAGAAAAGTGTTGTTAAGGCACTACAATTTGGTGGGGAAAAAATTAAGGCACAAATCTGATGGAATATTTCCTTTTCACAAAAGCGAGCGGGGGCTTCCATCTTGAAGCGATGCTTACGCTGTTAGGGATCTCGTCACTTTGTCCTCCTTTACTCGTACTCCTTTCGTCTCTACTCTTGTGGGCTGATAGCGTCTGCAAGCAGCTCCGGCCTCAAACATTCAATCGGACACTGGATGTTCTGGAGAACAGAGAAGGGCACGTCAGAGGGAGAAGGGAGAGGAAACATGTTTTATGGGCTACAGCTACATTTTTATCTGATGTAAATCTTCATTGGAATGATTGTTATTAGAAAAAGACACTGACCAGTTTGCGAAGAGCATTTTCTCTGTAACGATCAAAGACGTCTGGGCGAACAGGCTGGAGTAGGTCAGCCTCCAGCTCAGGCTGTCCTCCTGGCCTCCTGCAGTTCTCACATCGCCAGCCCTGAAGAGAAGAGAGAGAAATGTTACTCACACACACACACACACAACCAGCCTGGCCTTGAGTGCACACAAACACCTTTAAAGAGCTTTAAAGCAACACCACAGGTGGCGTTCTTACCTGTAGTCCTCCATAGCAAGTACAGGTACAGATGGCTCCCTGGTACTCCTTCTGCCACTGCTTCCCGACCTGGTACATTTTTCCATCGTCATAGCAAGTCGACTCATCTGGAGAAGGATGGAAATTAAAGAAGCATGAGAGTAAACTCAGCACGTTAAAAAAAAATTCTGACATAGACCTCATCACTTTCTTCACACCAAACGTGTTCTCGTATCATCAACCTAACACGACACCCGGTTCTTGTGTGTGTCCAGCAGTCAGCACTCACGAGGTTCACATTTGAATTCTCCTTTGCCGTTGCCCAGACAGGTGCAGCTCATCATGTGACCATCCTCACCGCGGCGATCCCACCTTTCTCCAATAGGGTAGTTATTGCCACCATCATGGCACCACTCTGAAGAAGGGAGAGGCAGCAAAGAGAGGGACAGACAGGAAAAAAGAAAGGGACAAGGAAATGATGCAGAGAGGGAGTGAATGCACAGATGTGCAAAAGATAAAGAAAGCAGTTCATCAGTCGAGCCCATTCACAGATACATATTTATGCAGCTTTGCAGACAAATAATAAATATACAGAAAAATGAAATGCTCTCAGTTTCTCGTATCGTCGTGTTAGCTTTGCAGTTATGGACAATACAAATAACTGAGTGCGCGGCTCAGTCGGGCAGATCAGTTTGATGTGAGGTTTTCACAGTTTGCAGAGAAGGATCAGAGGGATCCACATGGGCAGGCTCCAGCTGACTCACACACAGTAAAGTCTTTGTGATTAACTGAAACAGTAAATACATTTAAACCCGAGGCAAAAAATGTTCTATGCAAAGGTCTATTCCTCATTGCTGTGGCTGCCCATGCTGACATTTTATTACTGCATGCTGCTGCACATAGATCATCCACTGATTCTATGACTCAGGAATTTATAATGTGCATAAAGGCAAGTGGCATCATTTTATGTGTTTAACTGAATTTCCATTTGCATGTTTTATGCCTCCCTCTTATAAATTCCTCGCGTTTATATACATAGAATTATTACTGGACTTTAATTCCATGGTAGGGTTTTGCAAAGCATGCTGGGATGGGGTTAATAAGCCACTCACTGGATGAATCACACCTAAAATGCCCACTGCCCAGCCCCAGGCAGCGGCACCACAGCTTGAAGCCCGTCTCTGACATGCGCTCCCACTCTGAGCCCACTTCATGGTAGGTGTGTGTGAACGTGTCGTAGCACACATCCCGTTTGGGGGTGATGGGGATGCCACCTTTGAAGACAAAAAAACAAAATGTTTTTTTATTGCTCATTAAGAAACTTATCAGGTTATTGATTTTACATTTTCCCATTTTTCACTTCAGACTCTTTGAATCTTTTGTACTTATCAATTTTCTGTGATCAAAGAATAAAATTGCGAGTGTAAACTGCTGTACCAGCATCACCAGCGGTTACGACTTCCTCCAAAACCTTCTCTTTAGCCCCGCCCTTCATAGCCTCCACAATGACATTATAGGAAGCTCCAGATGTCAGTCCAATCAGAGTGGCGCTGGTGGAGTTGCCAGGGAGACGCATCTGTGTGGAGAAAGATAAAGCAGCTGAATGAGGAACGTCCTCTCGTATCAAACGAGCTCGCACGTGAATGTGTGTGCACACGCGTCTGTACCTGGAAGCCTCCTTCCTCCAGGTGTGTGATAGGATTACAGGACACCTCGTACTCTGTCGTGTGAGGGATGGGTTTCCAGGAGATGGTTGTGATTGTCTGAGCTTCTTGGGGAATCTCTGTTTCACTGTCAGAAAAACCAAACGCGAGACCAGGCAGAGGGCCGTCGCTCACCTACAGGAGCCACATGGAACAAAGTGTGAGCACATGAATATTAATTAGGGTCATGTATTTGTACCTGCTCTGAAATCAAAAACCAGCATGCATTTGTTTTTACTTTGATTTAATCAAATAAAGCTGATGCAAAATGTTGGAGATGCTTTCACTGCTTTACTGAAACAAGATTATAGCTACGTCAGGGCCTCACCCACCTTGACCAAAGGTACTCTGTTTCCATCAGGGCCTGCCACAGGAATATAAATTAAGGGCTCTTTGAGAGTGGGTCTCTGGCCTTCCTTGGGTCCACTGTAGGGGCCAAATCCATTATTGGGGCCCAGACCCTGATACTCTGTATAGACATGCTGACCCTGCTGGCCTGGCTGGTTCTGGCCGCTGGTGCCAACCAGGTGGACGTGGTTGGAGTTAAAACTGTAGAAACAAAAAGAAAGGGATGATAAAACAGCAAAAATCAAGAGGTGCAAAATCAGAAAACACTGTTAAGGTGGTTAAAGAAATGTCCTTCCTTTCCATACGACTGTGGCAATGCTTACATTTTGTCGTCAAAGGACTCGGGAACATCCAGAATGTCAGTGGTGGGGCGATGAGGAACAGGAAGCTGAGGCAGCTCAGGGAACAACAGCTGAGAATCTGGAGCTGGTTCTGATTGGATCGAAGACAAACGTTTGCTGGCTGTTAGATTCTTAGATTCCAATACTTAGGTTGGATTGGTTTCATTGTATAATGGTTAAAAGACCTTTGGACAGCTAAACTCACGCCCTCCGGCAAGCATAAATTGCCCAACATATTTACAGCAGTGCTGCATGGCCAGCAGAGGGCAGCACAGCACAGGTCATGTAGCAGTTATTACTGCTGGTTTTGTCTCTCTGAGAGAAGTTACTCTTAACAACAATCGTGAAAAATAATCAATGTCAAAGTTCTCATTACATCATCTAACTGCTGCAAGTGGGAAACTTTAAAAAAACAACCATTAAGGCTTTTATTTAATGGTGTAATCTGTAAGTCTTTGTAGAAGTACTATTAAACTGAGTATATTATTCCACAACACCATGTCCCACCTTTAGCGTATCACATTTTAAAAAGGTGATGGGAATAGTTTTTCTTTTTTTATAACTTTGCAATGTTCAGTTACTCTTAAGTGATACCAGAAGTCAGAATAAAAGCGTTTAATAACATTTGACATACAGTGAAACGTAGAAACATCTGTAGCTGAACTGTAACAAAAAAAAATGACATATCTAAAATCTGCTCTGGCCGATAAACGACTGCAGGTGGATGACGTCTGCACTTACGGGTTCTGGCTTTCCCCACCAGCGGTGTGCTTCTCAAAGCATTCTGCAGGGCTACGATCTTAATGACATACTCCGTTCCTGGTTTCAGACCTAATTTCAAACAAAAAGTCAAAAAGATTCATCATTTTTTTAAAATAAATATTTACATGACATGTAGTAACACTCATGGACACTTACCATTGATGGTAACAAAGTCCTGGCCTGCATGGGGTCTAGGAAGGACCTCTCGAGGCAGACCACCCGCCTCCTCATAGGTGACGTAGTACCCTGTAATGCCTGGGCTGCGTGACGGCTCCCACATGAAAGAAATGCTGTTCGGATTCAGGGAGGTGAAGCGAATATTTGTGGGCGGGATGACCAGAGGCTGAGCTACAAGACAGACAGAAAAGTGATTACTCAGGAAATATGGAGAAAGTCTTTCTTTCTTAAGTAAATACATAATACTGTGTGATGTTACCCGTGGTCGCTGTGAGTGTGAAAGGTACACTGCGCCCATGTCCTTTCAGCGTATAGATGTTGATCTTATAACTGGTGCCAGGCTCCAGACCTAGAGTGTGAATACAGACATGTTAGCGAGTCTGTATGTGCAGAAACACATGTTCAACTCTGCTGTCTCGTACCTGTAATAGTGTAAAAGCGCAAATCAGGGCTGATGGTGTTTTGGATGGGTGTGTAGCCGGAAGAGGAGTGGGTGGGCGTGGCCTCAACCAGGAAACCAGAGATGGGGTCTGTCTTGGCCCGCCATGTCAGCGTGATGGTGGAATCGTTAACATCAGAGATACGCACACGACGAGGCGGGCTGATATCTTGAAGCAAAGCAGCGCCAGAGAAAAAGTATTAATAAGATGGACTAAAAGCAGCTCTTCATTTTTATGCGTCAAATTATCCGTTTTATAAACTCACTCTCCAGGGTGGCGACCTCTCCCTGGACGGGCCTGCTGGTTAGAGAGTTCTTCAGGGCATAAACGTTGACTTCATAGGTGGTTGCAATCTAACGGGACCCAAAGAGATACGGTTACATCCTCCACAAGGCTGAGAGTCCAAATAGCGACTGAAGCTGCGAGATTATATGTCTGTGCACAGGTGTGGGTGTGCCTGTGAAAGCCTCGTTAAACAGAGTCTGCAAGTGTGCAGACCTCCACATGTGTGTGCGTGTTACTGCACATGTAAACGCACTAAAGCTGGTCGAGCAGGCTAAATGCTTACAATTACATCATGTACACAATTATTCCCAACTTATCAGTGAACACATTTTTCTTTCTCGTCTGGTATCGATGCTTAAGAGAGACTGAAAAAGTGTCAGTATCTGTGATGGCTAAGCTATTGAAGTTTAAGGCACTGGAAGTTGATTCAATTTACTCACCATGAGCCCGGAAATGTGTGCCTGAGTGGTGTCTGGGGCCAGGTTGATCTCTTTGGTAGGCCCGCTCTTGTTCTTTGGGTTTACCACCACACGGTAGCCAGTGAGGCCCCTGAGCCCTGTTAGCTGATTGTCCAGACCCGGCATATCCCAGCGCATAATGAAAGAAGTAGGGCTGACCTGGGAGAACTGGAGGTTAGTTGGAGGAGAGATTGCTGGAAGGAGGGAAAAAAGAAAAAGAAGAAGTGTTATTAGGAAACGGATGAGGAAACCTGGGTTTTTCACTTTAACTGCTGTTTCGCATTAATTGGAAAGCTTTGACGGTGGAAAATGTACTCAAACATGTAGTTATAAATGTTCCCTTCCCTACCTGTAGCTTGTGTCCCAACCACGGCTGTGCTCTCTGTGTCATCGTACAGAGCAATGACCTTCACGGTGTATTCGGTGCCAGGCTGGAGACCGTATATGTCGGCTGACTCGGCGTCTCCTCTGGGAGCAGGAAGCAGCTCTCTCTCCCCCTCTTCAGAACTTGAATAAAACACTCGGTAAGACGTGACGGTTCCCTCGGGACTGTCCCAGGTGATCCGCAGTGAGGTTGAATCAACGTCTGAGAAGGTCAGGTCTTTGGGGCGGTCTACATCTAAAGGGAATGAGAGAGGATAAGAAAGACAAGTATGAGAAGGTGATGTCGTTTAAGTAAACTTTCAGTTAAAAGTTTCCACAAGGCAAATCCTTACTTGTCGAAGCAGTCACCACCTGTGGAGAGCTCTCTCCGTCTTGTACTTGAGCAACCACGCTAAAGGTATACTCCGACGTCGGCATCAGGCCTGAAAAAGTAAACTCTGTCTGATCTGGAAACAACAAAAAAGGGAAAATCAACACGGCTCAAAGTTTACAGCTAAACTTCACAACACGCTGTGAGTGTGGCAAACATACCTGGAGCCACCACCTCGGTAAAAGATGGTCCCAGTCCATTTCTAGGAGCCCCAGTCACCCTGTAACCCTTGATGGGGCCTGCGGCGGGGCTCCACCTTACTGTGATGCTGTTGTCATTCACATCTGTCACCTCCATCTCAGAGGGAGAGTCGACACCTGCGGGAGAAGAAAACAGAGATGAAAAGGAGAGTGTAACGCTGTTATGTCTCAGAGAGATTGTGCACTTTGTGTGTCCGTACTTGTCTTATGAGTGACATAGATTGGGATGCTGGATGCGGGGCTGTCTCCTCTGCCGGTCACAGCGTACACAGTGATAGTGTAGTCAGTTCCAGGCTTCAGGTTAGAGATTGTGGCGGTGGACTGAGAGCCAGGAACCGTGAACTCCTTAGGATTACCATGACCACCTGAGGCAAAAAGTAAGACCTTCTGTTTGCAAGTGTAATGATTTACTAATGACTGGCCAAAAAAAATTGCAAAAAGGAATAATATAGTCAGAAAAATATACAGTTCTTAGTACAAATTAAATCTGTAAGTCTACCTGACTCTCCATGGGTGATCCTGTAGTAGCGCACAGTAACTGGGGGAGCAGCCCAGCGGACAGTGATGCTTGTCGGGTTCGAGTCTAGCACTTCCAGGTCAGTGGAAGCATCGGAGACTGGACAAAGAAGCCAGAAAGAAAAATAAATACATATCCGACGTGTTGGCGATAACGTCGTGAGTGGATAAAACATTGAAAGTGGCGTTCATACTTGTTTTCTGTGTCCCGCTGAGCGGCAGGCTCTCCTCTGTCCCGCTCACGGCGAAGATGTTGACCAAGTACTCTGTGTCAGGAGTGAGTCCTGTCAGAGTGAAGTGCTTCCTGGACGGGGGCAGCCTCTCGTCTTTGGACCTCCCACCGGTGACCATCTGGTAACGGATGCGGTAGCCGCTGATCTTACTCTGCGGAGCGAACCAGTGGATGGTGAAGGAGTTGGTCATGATCTCAGAGAACTGCAGGCCGACGGGTGAGTCCAGAGCTGCAGCAGGTCGGGACAAAGAAGGATAAAGATGATTTCACTTGCTCTTATGATGCCAGTGGCTGATTCTAGGCTGATGCAAAGTTGCTCCTGACTTAGAATCACCTGTTTTCTGAGAGCCAACCACAGGCGAGCTCTCCCTCTCCTCATAAACACACATCACGCTCACCAGGTACTCGGTGTTGGGCAGCAAATCTGCAGACAGCAACAACGCCACAGATGTGAATGCAGCCCTTTCTTCTGTGACTGCACCTGGCTTTGTGTTAATCATGCTACAGCTTACTTCTTAGCACCACACTGTTAGCCGTCCCTCCTACGCTGGTCTCTGATCTCATCTTCATCATCGATGGGATGATACAGAGACCGACATCAGCTATATTCACAAGCTACTGCATGAGAACATTTTTGTGTTTCTTCACCTACCTGATACGGAAACTGTTAATGTCAGCAGTGTTTGGGACTTGGGGAGAGACCCAGGTGACCTCCATGGTGTCTGGCCCAACCTGCCCAAAGGCTAAATCAGTGGGAGCTGGCACAGCTGTGGGAAAGACAGAGCAGACTGTTAGATTTATGAGATTTCTTACTTGTTGTGAAAACATGGGAAATTTAATAAGTCCACGAAAGGATGCAAGAGAAAAGACAAACATGAGGGAACAACTGAAAGAGAAAGTGAAATATTTACACGACCGTCTTTTAAAAGACGAGTCTGTGATGTGTTTGTGTGTCAGTGCAAATCCTCTTCTGAAGTTTTACAACATCTTCAAGCTGGGAGAACAAGCGCTGTTTGTACTGGTGGGGGGTGGGAGGGTACGCCTTAGTATGATAAACCTCTCAACTAATACCAGATGGTCCCCACACACACACACACACACACACAGGGCTATTAAACTGACAACAAAACACGCACAGCAATTACATCAGCAACCTAAAGGCTTCTGTTGTTTAAAGAGCCGTGTCAAAGGTTTAATAAGAGCTTTATTACATTATATAACCTAAACAGTGAATTCACACTAAACGTGTGGATTTTTTTTCTTACAGGTCTGCTGAGTGAGCGTGGTGGGCTCGCTCTCGCCATTCTCCGTCAGAGTGGTAACGCTGATGTCATAGTCGATGCCTGGTTCCAGTCCGTAGACCGTGTACTGACCAGTTGTGGGCAGCACCTGGTCTTCAAAGATCGGTACGCTCTCGCCGGCTGCAACTACAGTGATCCTGTAACCAGTGATGGCTTTGGTGTTGAACGGTGTCCAGCGTAGACTGATAGTGGTGTCGCTCACATCCTCAAAGCTGAGGTCAGTCAGCTGTGGTACTTCTGGATGGATGGGAAGAGATTTGGGGGCAGAGAAAGGAAGAGAGAAAAAACCCAGAAACGCCAAACAAAGAAACAACAAACATGAGGAAGAAGAAAAAGGAGAGAAAGGATACAAACTGGTTAATCTGGGCCACAAACACTGGACTTCCAGCAGGGTGACACTGATGGAAGCCCTAATGTTAAGTTTGCGTCTCCTAATATACAGATATATATCACCAAATGGTAATATACCTATGTTACCATTTGGTGATATATAAAGTTAACATTAAAAGCATTAGTGTTACCTATGAGTCACTTTAGTATAGGCACTTAGCTGCTGGTGGCTATGCAGAGAGCAACAGTATCAGAAAAGAGCTGGTAGGTGTTAAAAGTTGAAGGTTGATGTTTTATTTGTTGCTTCTGCAGCTGATTAGAGAATGACTTTCCATACATGCACATCCTGTCTGCATGGACCGATGGACCGGGAAGAAAACCCATTCAAACCTCTGAGAGGCCTTCTTATGAAATTAAACATCTCACCTGGTGTAATGACAGTCGATACCGGAGTGCTCTCCATCTCATCTTTAACTGCGACAACACTGATGTTGTACTCCACACCAGGGCTCAGGTTTTCCAGAGTGCAGGAGTTCTCACCAGCTTCCACAAATTCCTCCACACTGTTTCCTTGTTGTCCGTCAGTGGGAGTGCATGTCACTCTGTACCCAGTGATGTCTTAGAGGGATAAGAGAGGTATTCAGTTGTTAGACTGGCTATTCATGATTTGTTTGTTGGGATTCTTCTTTTTATTGCACATGTGTGTACCTGGAGTACTGGCTCCATTCCATTCCACTGTGACACCACCGGTGCCTGGGTTAGGCTTCAGATTGAGATCGGTTGGAGGAGACAGAGCTGGAGAGGAAGAAGGATAGAAGATCAGAGGAGGACGTGTGGAAAAAGAATGCAAAACAGAGAAGAAAAAGGTTTGGAAAGTGGAACGAAAAGAGTCCACTTACGTGTGACAACGCGGCGTGTGATTGGAGTTCCCTGCTCGTATCCATTAATGACCGGCTGGACGCTGTAGGTGTACTCCACTCCTGGAGTCAGACCGGAAATGTAGATACTTCCTGAGTCAGAGGTCACATCTCTCGGGGCTTCCCCACCCTGACTGGGCCGTACTGTCAGCTGAAAGATAAATGCACACAGTCAGACAGACTGAGCAGAGCGAGACACGGGCTGGGGGTACAGGAGGTAAAGGTCAGAGGTCAGTGCTTTCCCAAGAACACTGAAGCCAGCAGAACATTCTCATCTCTGGTGCGACATCTTCTAACCAATCAGATATATCTCAGAGGGTTCAAGTTCCCATGTTAGTAGCTAACTCTGAGAGGCGCACACTCAAGTAAGAATAACTGGAATGTGCTTTGCACAGCAAACAGGAAAATGCATTTAACGATTAGGAAAAAAAGAAAAACAGAATTACACACGTAAAGAAGAAAACCTGCACCCAAAAAGGCAAATCATGCAAAAATATACTGTAAGTGAGGGTACCTTGTAGCCAACGCGGGGAACTGGAGTCCAGGTGATTATAATGGAGGAATCAGTCACATCAGTGTTGAAATGAGGAGCATTACCCATTGCTGGGGCTACAAACACAGAAGGTGAAGGTGTGTTCTTATCAATTTTGGTGTCTTGGAATATAAATACAGCAAAAACTTCAATATTTATGCTTTGGTGTTTGAAGGAGGCCACGCCTCATTGACTCGACTTATCCAGAAAATTCTTTTTTAATAGCAAAACGCACAAAAGTTTGAAGTATAAGCTCGGTGGCCACAAAGCTCAATGTACTGGATACTCACTGGTTGTAAACAAAGCCGTCTCTCCCGCACTCATGGTGTTGCCTTGCTCCGCGTGCAGAGTCACTGTGTATTCGGTATCTGGCTGCAGGTTGAGGAGGGTGTACTGGGTGAGGCGGGCAGGCAGGCGCAGCCGCAGCCGCTTGGGGTTGGAGCCCTTAACAGTGAAGAAGAGACTGTAGCCGGTAATTTTGGCACGGGGTGCAAACCACAGCACCACTGCACTGTCCTCGGTCACATTGGCAAAATGGATGTCTGTGGGGGCATCTGGCTCTGAGAAGACAGATAATGAACACTGTTAGATACAGAGCAGTTTGATCTAAAAGACTGTCGGGAGCA